CGTATTGATCGTAAGATTGAATTTCCTCCACCAAATGAAGAAGCTCGTTTAGATATTCTCAAAATTCATTCGCGTAAAATGAACTTGACCCGCGGCATTAATTTGCGTAAAATAGCGGAACTTATGCCGGGAGCTTCTGGTGCAGAAGTTAAGGGCGTTTGCACAGAAGCTGGTATGTACGCATTGCGTGAGCGTCGTGTGCATGTTACTCAAGAAGATTTTGAAATGGCTGTCGCTAAAGTTATGCAGAAGGATTCCGAGAAGAACATGTCCATTAAGAAATTATGGAAGTAAATTTCAAAACTTTTATATATTTATACACCGAGTATCATAAAATGATTATTGATTTGTAATTGAATTATCATTTCTTGGATCTTCACAATTAAAAATTAAAAACTTAGAATAACATTAATGTTTTTTGTGAGAAACGCATAGTTAATTTTTTTTCTATTAAAAGCGGAATTCAAAAAGGTATTTATCATTACAGCTGACTTTAGAAGAGCATCAAATTGGAGTCTTCACGTACCATGTCCAGGCTGCAGTAGCGAGTGTGTTCAGAGGATCCATCAGAGGATAACAATTTGAGAAATCGGTTTTTGTCATTGAATAATTTTTGGCAATGAATTTGCATCGTAGTTTTCTAATATGTTATAATCCGAAAGCAGGGTGGTCTAACAGGTACTGCAACACTTGCAGAGTAGCAGTAACATCGTTGTGTATTAGATTAATTGTTGGTTTCTAATATTTAGATCTTATATAAAGTTATTACAGTTGTAGATGATTTTAATTTATATAAAAAAATGTTTTGTCTCAAATATTTTCGCAACATACCACAGTAAGAATCTGTGGGAAGATTGACTTTGTCTCAGACTTACTCAGCATCAACTAACCATTGTGTTCGCAAGAAAAAAGGGATCAAGTAAGATCCAATAAAGCAAAGGACTTATCTCGGCTTCAACAACAAAATGTTTGCAGAAGTTGAATAAATTTGAGCAGTGATTCTCAACTGAAGACATGCTGTAGCCTAAAAAAATATTCAATGTATTTTATAAATAAAATATTAAAAGCAACCGGTGCAAAGAGTAGTATCAATATTTTCCAAACAAATATAGTATTGTTAAAGGCAAAAATTCAATATTTTACAGGCCAGCGGTCCTAATGGCGTGTATCAGCGACCGGCTAACACTGGTTTCAAGCACGATACCCTTTTTTGTAGTTATCTAGGTCACCATCATGCAGAGTTACTGTCACACAATAAATTTAAATCTAGTCAGGTTTGTATATAAAAGAATTCAAAAAATAATTGTGTTGTATAAATCGAATTTTATTTAATATTAAAAATTAAATTACTATAACAGTATTAACAACCACTACAAGATCTGTATTAAAAAAGGTAAGATAAAAATTGTATTTGTTATGAGGACAACAGCATACGAATATCATCATTGTCAGCAACATCTAAACACGTTTCACCATTTTTATCCAAAAGTTTACTATTTGCATTAAATGATAGTAAGACACGTATACAATCAATGTGACCACAACTAGCAGCATAATGTAACGCAGTCTGTTCTTCACCATCACGTAAATCTACATTAGCACCGGAATTGAGTAGGAAAAGTAAAATGTCGAATGCATTGCGATCTGCTGCCCAGTGGATCAAACCCATGCCATTTTCGTCTAAGTCACTCAGTTGTGCAACCTTCAGGTTCATTTGCAAACCTGCGATATTGGCTTCTTTAACAAAGTCAAAAGCATCTTTTTCATGTTCAGCTTTTTGTGCTACATCATTCGGCGGTAGCTCAGTAGAATGAACTACCCAACTAAAGGCAGGTTTATATTTCTGTGCACTTATTAACTTTGGCTGCCAAAGTGGATCAAGTTGTTTCACCTTTTCAATATATAAATTTTTCGCAATTGCAGTGCTCATATTACCTAGTTCATTCCAAGCATTCCACTTAGCTCTACCTTGCATATTAAAGATGCTTGGTTTTTCTGCATTGCATTGACCAATTGTTGCCTGCTTATAATATCCGTACAATTCCAATAAGTCGTTTGGTAATAGTGTAGTGTGTATGCTTTGGACGTGGTCTGCTGCGGAAGCAAAATTCTCATCTATTATATCAATTTCTGCATCGCTATCTGAGAAATCCGACATTATACAAATCAGAAATGTGAAAATGTGGTTGTTTTATTAAAAATATATTTAAAAATTTTAATTTAACTTAATGTAAAGTGATTAGATGATACGATCAGTTTAATTTATGCTTTCTGTATATTTATATAACTGCCCTCTAGCAAATGTTTTTGCTGCGCTTCAATTTTTTGCAAAGCAGTTAAATTGTTGAACTGAACAAATCCGTAACCTTTAGAAAGTCCTGTTTTTCTATCAAATATTACTGTTGCGCTATTGATGCGACCAAACTCCTTAAAGTAACCTCGTAATTCCTTATGGCCAACTGTCCAGGGAAGATTTCCAACAAAAAGTTTTATTCTATTTACTGTTGCCATTTGTTAATACAGTATTAAATTTATAGATATCAACCTATAAAACGTATGCCGACAAAATTATTTTTTAGTTACGACTGGCCTAGTAAAACACGAGCAAATTTTCTTGATGAGGTTATTGAATAATTCACAGCTGATATAGAGTTGTATATGATGTTTTTTCAATAGTATTTAGAAATGGTGTACAGGGTTGTTATTTAAAGTGATTATTATATATCATACTTGTTGCAACAACTTAAAGAGGATATAGACGATGCTACATATTTGCAGACAAGGTATGCGTGCTACCAAATCGCACCGTCTATATTAAAGTTTGCATACCAAATTTCGGTCTGAGACATGTATGCGTTAAAATTAAAACTTTTTAATTATTTGTTAAGTCTGCACACATGTCTGCTTGTGTATATCGAAATCTACAGACTTCTCATATTATAAGAATTTTGGTGAGCTTTGGATGAGGTAAGATCGCGGAAAAAAATTGTAAAATAATTGAAAAAGTTGTAGACATTTATTTTCTTTAAAAGAAGCAAATTTGTAAAAAAGTGCTACAAACAATTATTAAAGAAGTTTATATATTTTAAAAATTATTTTGTGAATAAAAATATTAAAATGCAACATTTTAAAGAATTAAATTAAAAATAATTTTAGTTTTAAAAATTAAAAAAAGATATGTTTAATTCTAAAATATATGAAATCTTTATAAAATGAAATAATGAAATAAATAACATGTTGCTGTTATCATCATCTCAATTCCTTCAGTTTCGATTACCATTTCACACTCTGTAGTTGCTCCGCTGTTGTTATGCATACCTTGTTTCAAAGTGTATAGGAAAGCGCATATTTGAACTTCATACTTGGTGTGCAAGTATGTCTATATCATGCTTTAGACCGTGTGCGAATTCGAGTAAATTGATGGTAAATTGAGGGAAATAGTATATTATATTGGTATGACAGCGAATGTTGGCATTTACCAGAATTTCGAATAGAGTAAATTAGATACAAATTAGGTGAAAAAGGTGTTACCATTGTGAAAGTTATATAAGACGTTTAATAAATAAATATATAAATTTAAAAACTTTAAAACAAAAATGTTAAATAAGTGTAATAAATAAATATTTACATAAATGCAGTGCAAAAAAAGCCTAGGAAATTTACATTTACATTTACTTTATACTTTATATGGCATTTACACTGTCCTCAAATTAGTCATTTTGGTCACAAATCAAAAATTAAAAGTAATGACTCATTTTTGCATACAAAATATCAAGGCCTCCATTAGATCCATTGGATCTCATTCTGTATAAATGAGTTCCAACGAGGTTAAAATGTGTTTCAAATATTTTCGAAATGCAAATGAATACATTGAACATACCCTAAATAAAAACGTTTCATGACATTTTGGCAGTTTGAGAAAGCTATTTTTGACATATTTACAAAAAAAGGTAAACAAATATTTGGTTGTTGCATTTCCTTGAAAACTATGCACCTCCTTTTGAAACTTTTACTTCCCTTTTAGCTTTATCAAAGCTAAAAATAAGTTTTCATTTTAAATTGTAAGATTTGAAGAAGGTATATTTTATCCTCAATCCAACATTTTTGTGGCACAGGCCAAAAATCAAATCAAGCAAGTTGATAAATCAGCTGTTTGAAATGAGAACAAATGAATTACAACGAATCTAAACACCTTCAAATGACTTATTTGAAATAATTAATTTTTGGCCAGTGTAAACGCCATATTACCCAGACTTTGATATTGCTTGACTATTTTCAAGCAATTATTTTTAACAATTATTTTTAGCAATTATTTTAATTTTAAAATTAAAATTAAAATAATATAAGCAGAATGCAAATTGAAATGTGTATGCACGCAGCTGTGTACAATTGTGTGGAGTCGTAAGCATAGTTAATAAAAATATTTCGCGTTTTTGTTGTTGAATTTGCATTTTGCTTATTTTATTTTCGTAGTCAAAAATAATTGCTTGAAAATAGTCAAGCAATTTCAAATTTTGACTATTCCTCAATTTACTCGAATTCGCACAAGGCCGTAATAGCAATATTTACAGGAATGGACTTCCTAGTTTTTTTTCGTGTACAATCGAATTTTTGTCAATTACATGTAAATTTCATTCCGTTTTAAGAGATTAAGCAAAAACATCAAACATATTTTGTAGTACATTTGTAGTATTTTTTGCTGAGGAGTGTTCAAAATAAAGTCGGCAGTGCATGATGTGTAAAAGCAAGCGACGTTGGTGCACACTAAGTCATTGTGACAAGTTTAGTGTGTAATACCCGCTTAATAAAAAGCGATGTGAAATACCCGTTTAAAAAATTCTCAAATAACGGCATTCAATTTGCTACTTCTATATGTAGCTTGGGTTTGCTTGGTGGCGCTTTATCGTTCACTTTAGTGATTTCATAAAGTATTTTATGGGTAAAATGGGTAAAAAAAAGAAGTGCAAAAAGAATATGCAAAAATTTCGAAATAAAATGCGTGCCATAAGGGCAAAAAAAATCAGTGAGTGTTGGAATGCAAATTGGAACAGAAATGCAGAAGACAATGCAGAGATATGCTCTGAGTTGCCCATTTCTAATTATGCACCACCACAAATTGACTATGTCAAACGAGCTAAAGTAACTGATTGTACAGATGGAGAAACTACTCGACAAAATGCTCCTATCAGCATTTTACATGCAGTTACACCGATTCCCACCATGTATAGTTGGGTGCCAACTCAGGTTAATTTCATGGTGGAAGACGAAACTGTGCTCCATAATATACCATATATGGAAGATGATTTTTTAAATA